GTTCTTTACCCAGCGAAGAGTAAACTTGTCCGAGCCATGAGCTGCCAGCTTCTCCAGGAGAGAACCGAGCCCTGGGGAACACCGCTTGTGACCGGCCGCCAGACAGATTTAACGCCATTCACCACAACTCTCTGGGCTCAGCCATCCAGCCAGTTCTTTACCCAGCGAAGAGTAAACTTGTCCAAGCCACGAGCTGCCAGCTTCTCCAGGAGAATGCTGTGGGAGACGCTGTCAAAGGCTTTACTAAAGTCCAGGTAGACAACATCCACAGTGTTTCCCTCATCCACTAGGTAGGTCACCTGGTCATAGAAGGAGATTGGTGAAGGTTGGTGAAGCAGGACCTGCCTTTCATGAACCCATGCTGGCTGGGCCTGATCCCTTGGTTGTCCTACTTATTGTTTGAATGCTTTGCAATGAAGGGAAAAAAAATGCCAAATCATTAACTTCTTCCATACCAGACCATCCTACACTAAATAAAGAATTGAGAGAGATGTAAAGCTTTCATAAAAAGGCAAAGAAAGGTCACAACACATACAATACTGTCAAGAGGCCAGCTCTGATCAGTTTATCATTTTTATGACACCTAGCAACAAGACTGCACAAGTATTCTAGAGTTAGAGCATATAATCTGAGATCCACATATTACTGTTCAGAATACTGCAACGATGACTTCTAGGCCTAAACTTCTGTTTTTAAAGTACAGCGTTGTCCAGCATCTTGGACGTTCAGTAAAGCAAAAAACAATATTTAAATCTATCTTGTAATGAATTGACATGAACAATTCTTTTTTTTTGCCCCCTCCCCCTTTTTTCACCTTTTTCTTCTGCAACATGATGTATGCACTGTTTAACATCTGCACACTTCAGCAGCAATGGGCAGCTAGGGTAGTCTGAGTCTAGAACAACTTGATCAAGTGGCTGGAACTTTCCTTGTTGCTGAAAATACATCAGAGGGATTATAAAAGCATTATTATAATGTTAAGACATATACACACTACACATACATAGAAATAGATATGCATGCAATGGCCATAGCTTTAAAATAAAGGATTTGAAGAAGATTGTATTTTGAATGGTAACACATGACACATTCAGAAACTGATTACAAAGCAAGCTATAAATATTTATTTCAAACCAGTAGATACCTGCAAAATACTGAACTCTTCAATTACTGCACTTAAAAGACCAAATTTGAAACAACATGAGGAGAAACTAATGTGAAGTACAGCGGGATTTTTTGGAAGATGACATAAGACACAGTAGTCAGTGTGTGCCAATAGTGTTTTAGACCAAAACCTGTTGGATTAAACCCAGTGTCATAACTTCCATTCAAATTTTGCTTTTCCTTCCATAAAGACAAATCTCAAAGGAGCAGGGCAGCTTCTGGAACACAATATTAACCTTTCACCTCTGCAAAGTCAATTCCAGTTTGGCCAGAGTATGTACATAAAGTGATTTTGGCACAACTTAAATAGCCCCACACATGACAGAACCATCAAACAAATTTTGCCGTTGCCAAACAATGCATAATCATTCAGCACAGTTTGGCACAACTGGCAGCCTTCCCTTTGGAAAGATCCTTTAGCGCATCAGTACAAAGACTCAGTGAGCTCTCTATCCTTAGAGAGTGCATGGTCTCAGGAGCCAAAGCTGAAGTCATTATACCGGTCAGCATGAAAAAAACCCCACTTGGGTATACTGCTTTCATTATTAATGAATCCTCTTGCTAGACAGCTAGAGGCTTAATAAAAGTAACCAGCCATTGTTAAATGACAATAAAAACAAGAAAACAAGCAAATAAAAAACCAGAAAGGATTTAAAGATTTTCTCCTGAAAAAGAAAAGGCACAATAACAATGGCAAAAAGAAGGTTATGAAATGCAGAAATAAAGCTGCAATAAACTGTTTCCTATAGATAACCTACCTGCACAAACCTGCTCATGTCCCAGAGCAAGGCAGCCACATTTACATTGTGCAGGGGCACAGAGCCTAAGGCAAGAAAGCCTGCTGGATAGGAGACCGCTCTGCTCAGAAAACACATTAAGCAACCTGCATCACACTATCAAAACCAAAGGATGATGCTAAGACACTCAGTGGGTTCCTTGATACTCATTAGTTCAAGCCAGAAGTGACTGTGCTGCATTCAAGCTGGCCTTGCACAAGGTATCTGCAACACCATCCTCAAGACTTCGCTTTACTGAAGAATACGCTCACATAGGCTAGGCGCTGCAGGAAAGCATCTGCCCTGATTTAAGACCCAAAACAGCTCTATGCATTTATCTGGCATCATGCCTGGCCTAGAAAACATGAAAACCTAGAAAACAATGTACTGAGAAAGTAAAGGGCAGTACAGGATTCTTCCCATGCACAGAAACAGCAGCAGTAGTTGTCCTTTACTCAGGCTACCTCAACACTATACCACATAGACAGAGGAGATTTACTGTTTCCCTAATTTAACTTTGGTATAAAGCTTTCAAAGGGATGCTGAATTCAAGTAGAGTGCAGTGCCTAGAGAATGAGCTAAACTATTCCTTGTGAAATGACTTCTTCTGATGGGCCACCTTGAAGCAGGAACAAACCTCAGAAATACAGAATACATTTGCACATCCTATACCATAAATAATTTAAAAATAATTACAGAACAATAGGTTACTATTACAAATGTGTAGTAGGACTTTATTTCTTTACCATATAAAAATTGTTCTCCTGCATTTTCCACTTGCAGAAAATAGCAAGCAACCTTATAGGAAATGCTCTTAAAGCAAAAACCCTCAGGATGTGTAAAGTGAAATTATTGCCTCCGTGAAACAAAAAACAAGGACCAACAATTACATTTTATGCTTTTTTTTCCCCACAGGCAGATTATAAACAATAAATCAACAATTTTCCTATGCCTTTTGATACACTTCAGAAATTTAAGTGAGGTTTTGCCACATCCATGATAAATCAATTAAGCCGTTTATTAACTACCCAGCTTTTGGATACTTGATCATCCTGTTGCTGTTCTACAGCATCTCTACAAATGCTCCTTCTAAAAAAAGCAACGTTTCAAGTTCAAACTGCCACAAAGATGTTCTTCTCCCACAGCATCCAAATTCTTCTTTCTTTTCCTCTTCTTTCACAAAATGACTCATCTACTGATGCTTCAGAAAGGGCACTAGTTTGTTTTACTCTGATGACATCTCATAATTTTAAATTCAATAGCTCTGGGATAGACTCTCACAAAAGGACAAAAGAGATTCTCTGCTTCTCTTAAAAAGGAGGTGATTAGACTTTGTTGAGATTGCAAGCTGACTCTTGGAATATACTTTACTGATGAAAAAACTTGATGCAAACAAAAATATTTCTATGGTGGGTATCTGCTTTAAATGCAAATTAAATTTCCATTATTATGGAAGCCCCTCTTTGTAAAATTAACATAACTTCTGCAGAAAATTAAGTCAGAAATAATGTTTTCTCCTGAGAATTCCATTGAAAAAATAAAGCAGGCTTACCTCCTTGTCTGCCTTTATGAGGTAGTAAAGTATCAGAAACAAGGGGTCCATTGGTGTAACAAACAGCAGGCGCCCATCTAAGTGACAGATATGTAAAAGTAAGCTTAGAACCAAGAGGCACAATATACTGACCTTTATTTTTTGGGGGATGTTTTTCAGGAGTGTGGGCAAAAGAGGATTTTTTTTTTTTTTTCCCCAGTAAGTACCCCAGTATTTTAATAAAATGGCCAGGAAAATAGTATTTGTGATTTTATATTAAAAATACAGAGAACTCAATTCTCAACCCTGCCAAACCAAAACACAAGCTCCACTGCAGGTCTAATGGCTTCAAGCACTCTTAGTTTTGCCTTTCTCTAGACTATATTAAAAACAGCAAAATGGAAGCTGCCCTCTATTGGCAGATTTGTGTATAACAGAAACTTCTCTTGGGATAACAGATGCATCCAGTATACTCCACCTCAAACAGTGGGCAAGGCAACATTGTGCTGGCAGAAGAGGTAGACAGTGCAAGAAAGAATTTCAAGAGCTAATTAAGTTAGAGCTGCCTCTCATCTGTAAAGGGAGAATCTGCATGTAGTCTCCTAATAGAACAAAATAAACTTAAATAGATCAGAAAATATGGCTCAGTATGTTGTATTCAAAGCTACACACAAAGGAAGAACTTGGTCTCCCACTGAAACAGACACCTCTGCCCATCTGGAGCTCATTGCAGGACAATGGCTTAGTCAGGCTTTTTGTATAATTGTAGATAATTGGAAACAATGTAACATCAAGGAAATTCACTAATGAGACCCAATAATTGATGACAATTTGACATTAAATAGCAAACCAAAAGCAAATAAATGTAATATTTTGTTTTAAATCACATGATTAAGATAATTAAAGAAAAGGAAAACTTACTGCGATGGCCCTAAAATCAACAAAAGATGGAGTGGGAAGAATGTGGTTTGGACAAAATTGATGCCCTATCTAACATCTGTATTACTAACATGATGCATTGCATGAGGCAAAGCAAGCATCAGGACTACTTAGAAACATGAAAGCTTTGGAGGGGAAAAAACCAAACCACTAGCCACTTTCTCAAAGCTTCCATTTACATGCTTTCCACTGTATCTCCAGGACGAGGTATTTTTACCGGTTCTAAAGAGTTCAGACTCCCTGTAGGTATATAAAGACCTCTGCACTTCTCTGCAGATATAACAAGATAATTTGCTTTAACTGCAAACACACAGCTTTTTTGTGGTGTTCTTCCCCACACTGTTTCAGAGATGCAGCAGCCCTAATATTCATGAACAATTTTTCCCCCTGCCTCTTTTGAAGAAAACTGAGGTGATGATTCCTTAAGGTAATTGTTTCCCAAGGGCCAAAATAGAGGTTAGAAAGTGAGGGGGAGAGTACAATGTGGACGTAACTGGAAGCAGGGAGCAGACCCAGTCTTTTGGCTCACCCCCAGATGGAGTGAGGAAAAGCTCACAGACATACTGCTTACATTGCTATGTACACCTGCAGAGGATGTTTAAAAGTTAACACACGCTTTGGGATATTATCATTAAAGAAGGCATATGTCTGGTGGGGTTGCTTTTATTTATTGCTATAAATGGTCTTTTTTCTAGTTAAAAAAGGACAAAATAATATAACTTCATTTCCTAAATTAATACTTACTGCTTGGTCTATGGACATGCTGGTAGAGAAATACTACTCCAATGACATTCTTACTGATAAAGGATTGTTAAAGCTGTCACAAGCAGTTACATAAGTTTCCTCCTCTTTTTCAGAGGAGCAAGCTAGGATCAGAGAATGACTGGAATGGTACAGACAAGCTCACTTCAGCAAAACACTGAAATGGCACCTTCAGATGACAGGCCTATCCTGAGGTCCCAGCAACTCACACAGGGGACTACAGAGGTAATTAAAAGAAAGCAAGACCATACATTCCAATGCTTGGAGCTCTAACACACTGCTCTGCTTAGCTAGCCAAGGCCTTCCAGCCCTTTCTCCCTCCCATAGGATAACACATATTTCACTTACACTGAGGACTTGCTGGTCTGATTGACAAGGCAAGCTAAGCATTTTATGGCACTTCAGTTTAAATACAATTGAATGACTCCCCACCCCCCCCAAAACAAATGAACATCTGTCTAATTGAGGCTGCCAAAGGCAGCCTTTTAAAGAGAGACCACAAAGCCCCCAGCCCTGGTTAAATCCAGATGGCAAATGAGTGTGTCAGAAGGTGGGGATGTGACGCAGTATGCCTCAAACAACTAGGAAAAACACCTGTAAATTTACTAGAAGGGAGAGGGAAGGTCTGTGTGTGAACATTAGCTACAGTTGGGGGAAGGATACGTTATATTACTCACCTTGTTGAACAGTCTGACCTATAAACCAGGAATGATATTCCTCATGAAAAGCTTTTACTTCAAACAGCTGCTGTGCACCACTATTGAATAAGTAAAGGGTTGCTTCCCCTGTTGAAAAGAAATCTGGTTTGTGTTTGTAAGCTTTCACAAAAATCAAAAGAATACCCAATACATCTGAAGAATGTGCCTTATATACATACAGACACACAAACATACACACATTCTACATAAACTCACTACAAAGAAAGCTCAGACAAAGAAAACTATTATATACAGATGTTCATTTACCAGCTCTATAAACCAAAGTGAATTTGAATCAATAAATAAGATGTGTGAATAGTTCATCTTACAACACAAAGCCTTTGATCCAAATCCAAATCAAAATCACTCAAGAAGTCTGTTTTAGTCTGTACTGAAGGGGGAAGGTGGAAAACAAGAAAATTCCCTCTCCTTCTATCATGTTTGTCACCAAGATATCAGACTCTGGGTTGGGGAACAAAAGTCTCAAACCTTCAAATGACAATTTGAAATTATGGGGGTTTTGTGCATTCAAAATGGATTGCCAATAACTCAGTATGGGTAGACAAATAAGGTGAAAAAGGAAGCTAAAAGACGTTGCTTTGAAGTGCCTATCAGAATCTCGACAGTTTGGAAAGGAAAAGGAAAACTTTCTTTCAGGCCACCAATAGCACAGCTCTGACATTTCACATTAGTTCTGGATTACAATGAAAGGGTGATGAATATGTTGCAAACAGGATTGACATTTTCCATATCTAAAACAGGAAGCTACCAGAACTACAGAAGGGGCCACTTAAATTTGGTCAGCTGAGTCTGCTGGCTGGACTGGTCCTATCTTGGTTATCAACCCATCTTCAAGAGACAAGAGCAACTACAACATGGCAGTCCTGCTCAAAACACATAAATTGCTGAGCTGCACTGACTTGCAGATCATGTGCTGGCTCAAAAAAGTCTCGATATAAGCTCCTGCAAGCTGATGTCAGCACTGCTGTTCTCAGTCTGCAGAGATCCCTGGGTGCGGAAGGAGGTCAGCTAAAATGGGCAGACACATCACTTCCCAAAAATAACTGATAATGCATTTTTCCCCCTTTATCCAAAAGGCTGACCAGATGTTTAACCTCACCTAAGGATATAGTCCCAGTTCTCTGATTTTTCTTTCGGGGAGGGTAGGGGAGGAGAGGAGTGAAGAGTAGATATAAGGGGGAGCACAGGTTTCAATCATTACCATGTGCTTCTCAACAAGGGTCTACACCGTAGTCTGACCAGCGCCAGACATCAAACTACTCACAGAAGTGCTCACTGAACAACTTAAGACGCCTAGCAGTGAGCAGGCTAGACAAATGCAGTGGTGAGCTACAAAATCTTGGGAAAGGGACCATTCCTATTGCCTAACTCCAGTTCCCTAATTTATTTGCCTATGTTAAAAGGAGAGTCACCACAGGTTCCCAACAGAGTCGTTAGACAGAAACTCTAGGGGCTGGAGAGAAAACCTCAGCAGCTTTGCTTACAACTTTACTGCTTCAGTTAGTTGCTTAAGTCTTGTGGTATGGCTATTTCCCTTCTTTTAGTTCAGCACTTTGAAAAATGCTTCTTGTGGTACTTCTGAATTGCAGGCTGAACCCTAGTTTATAGTTTTTGTAAGGGATAGAAATTTTGTCCTTTTTACCTGTCTATAAAAAGGACCATGCATATTTTTATTTAATAAAGTGGTTTGCATGAATTCTATAGTGTGCTGAGTCCTTCAGTGTGTATTTATACAATATCTGGCATCAACAATTCATCTGTTAGACCTAAACGTAAGGAAAATACATTAATAGGGTGTTCTCAGTCCTTCCATTTTCAGACCCTATGCTTATAATAGGCTACATAACTGAAAGTTTATGCATGTCTATAAATAAGCTCCAGTAAATTCTAAAGGAACACACCCAGGCAATCATTGCACTTTAGGTTTTCCCCAGAAACCTTTCCTAAGATCTCCGATTCTACATGGTAAACAGATCTCTTCTTCCACAGAGAAAAGCAAATTAGTACCTACACTTTTAAAAACATAACAAATTAGAAAGCAAATATAACACAGCAGGTGGCAAATATCTGTGGCTATATATTCCCACTGTAAATCTGAGCAATCAAAAAACATGAGTAAGTGATTTCACATTCTGTGTCTATTGTTTTTAATTATTTTCCTCTTTCAAGAACAAAATGTACCTGAAGACTTTAGTTACAAACATATATAAATATAAGCAGTGAATTTCAAAACAAAAACATACAACTTAAATCTACAGAAAACAAACGAGCTTATGAAAAGAAAAAAGAACAGCATGAAACGTGTTTTTTCAAACAAAATATGTTAACCCTAACAAAGGCTTGCTGCAGGTTTCTGTTGTAGTTTCTCCTACTCCAGTTATTACATTACTTATATAATAATAACAAATCCTTGCAAAAAGACCAATCTGACTAGAAGAAGGTAACTGTGGGATGGTGGTGTCATTACATTGCCTGCATTTGCTGGTCTTTCCAATGTATTTAGAATTCAAAGTGCTTCATCATCTATTAATGAGAAAAGAGACACCATCACTTGGTGTGGGGAAAGAAGAAAATTAGATTTAAAAATGAAAAGACTCAAAAAGCTTGGTAAGTATAATTGAATCACTTCTTCTAACTATTTATTTTATAGCATAAGATGAAATGCTATGAAGCCTAAATTTGGATTAAAAAAAAGCCCAGGCTCAACACCCAACACTGTAAGGTCCCCAAAACTAATGCACTTAAAAACAGAACTTAAATTACACCTCTTTTTTGTGCTGCCAATATTCCTGATGAATAAACAGTTCAACCAATTAAAATTATAAAAGAAACCCTAAATGTTTGCACAGCATTAACTATCTGGCATCACCAGCTGTATCCTTGGCATGTAAGACTTATACTATCATCATTATTTCAGCTTGCAAAATATGAATCTTTTGGTGGTGGAGGGAATCAACCAGAACATTAACAGGCTCATGTCACAATTCCAAAACTTGCCTGTGCTTGGATTGCGCAGTTTTGTAAACAAAGGTTCGCTGTCAGGTGTCTTAGGGGGGTCAGTAGCAGCCTCTGTAGGGAAGAGGAAAAAGTTATGAACTTGTAAATTGAGAAGTATTTCATGTTCTGCTATGCTTCTCCAAGACATTCAGAATTAATTGGATTGACACTTTTTGAAAACTCACGCATTTCCTGTTATATGCCTCAGCCCAAATTCATCCTACCTGATCAAGGCACCTAAATTATGATTCCAGACTTCCTGGCACTCTCTATTTGCCACAGGAAAGATATGCACCTGGGGATGACTGAAAACCACATCCCCCTAGAGTGCCTCAGGGAAGAGAGCTCTTAAGTTTGACATCTCACTTAAGCCAGATGAATGGATATGTTGCCCTGATTAGTCACAAAGACAATGAGAATGTTTTGGTAAGTTAGGCCAAGGACAGTGTGGACATTAAAAAGTTAAAGGTGCAAAAGGTAAAATATTTGTGGGAAGAAACAGTGGTCCTCTGAAGCTTTCAGGAAGGCAGATTATGCAGGAATATGGGCCAGGAATTGTCTCAGTGGTTGTTACTTCTGTGAAAAATGTGCACACTTGTTTATGTGTTATGTGTAATCTTGAAAAATAAAGAGTGCATTTAATTCCCACACCCCCCATCCCCGCCCCAAGGAAAAAGAAGCTGAGAGGATACAGCACCTCTGGCTTAAGCCTCTGACAGTTTTCACTTTTCTGTGTCTTTAAGAAAAAAAAAGACAAAAAGCAGAGCCGCAAAAGTATGATTTCTTTATGAAATAAAAAAAAAAAAATAGAAAGGAAGCAGCTCCCACAAGGATGCTGATTCAAGTCTGAAAAAACCATCTATAATGATTGCCAGTTAATGATATTCTATCCAAGTAAAGTCTAACTTATATTTATGAAAACAACTTCTCACATCTGAGTGAAGAGCAACATGACAGCATCATCTTTCTTAGCTTGCACACTGCCAGTTCTGTCCCAATTCCTTTCATATAGGCATTCAACAGAGTAAGGAAAATTACTAAAGCATTTCACATACATAACCAGTATCCAGACCCCAGAGAATGGACTGACAGAGATCAGGCTGACGTTTGCACTATGGTGCTGCTGAGGAAAGCACAGAGGAGCAGTAGAGGCGTGCTGCACAGCTATTCACAAAGGAGGTTGTTGGATGGAAGAGAAGTGCCACATCGTCCTTCCTGGTTCAGTAGCGTCCAGGAGGTTTGCAGAGAGGGATATAGCACAGTTCTTCTCTATGGAAAACGGGGAAGTAGGAACCTCAAGTACAACCAAAAATAGCTGTTCTTCAGTCTGGCTGAAAGCCTATCCGCAACACCTCCGGAAAGGACAGGTGGACTTCTCACAGACTGTTCACTGGCACCTCAGTGGCAAAAAAAGCCCCAAATAACCCTCATCTTTCACATCCACTCCTGGTTATGCAGTTGTGTCATGAACAGAAATTGCCCAGAAAAAGACATAAGCAAGGCTTAAAAAGCAAGGGCGTTTTGTGGTAAAGTGTTGGAGGATTGTTCAGAGAATTTACAGTAATTTTCCTCCCCTAAATTTTTAGCTGAGTCTTCAGGTGGCTTGAAAAAGTGCTTTAAAAAGTTTCAATATAAGTTGGGGGCTTTTAATGGAAAAAGTCCATATTTGCTAACCAGACTTGCTTCATATGCTGATACATAAACACACACGGTTGTCAAGCTACATTTGCCCTGGCAAAGGCAAACTTCAAATTTCTAGAGCTGTGTATATTTCAATTCTTGACCACAGTTTAACATTAGTGTATTTTTTGTTACTTTTTAAAACACTTCAGTGATTAATGACAGTGAAGGAAACACACTGCATGTGTTTACTTTGATGTGTTTCACATGAACATGTTAAAATATACACACTAAATGTGAGTTTCAAAATTTAAAACAAAAAGCAAAACAAAAAAAAAACCCCAAAGGAACTTTTAGCGCTCACTTGCTCTGCTTTCTTCATGCATAGATTTATAAACACTGGGAATGAGTCCAGCTGAGCCCTAAGATGCATCTTGTATAACGTGAACAATTAAGTAGACAACTCTTCCTAATGTAGCCATTTTTAATGAAGTTCACATCTTTATTTAGTTGAAATGTGCCTTTCCTAACCTAGTAACACACTGAATTTATCCATCCCCACTAAGCCCAGGAGACACTTGCACATCGGGAGCACTCAGTGTAACAAACCCAAGGGATACAGTGTCTCATCTCTTCCTCATTGATCCTTTGGGCAGGTAACTGCCCTCCATCACGAAGGCCTGCCCCATGCTTTCCCAGGCTCAGCACCCTCTGCTCTGCCCCTTTGTACAGGCAGCCTAGCCCTGCAGCTGCCTTGGCTCAGCCAGTAACACTTCCCCTTGAGAAGAGAAGCACAGCACTGCCAATTTAGCCCTCTGGTCCTCCCCAAGCTCATGGGGTTCATCACTGCCCAGAGGACAGCAGTGATCACACCCTAATGAACAGTCTGAGTTGCAGCCTTCAGTCACAGTATCTTGTGCTGATGGGATCAGAGTATATGTCACATTCTCCACACAGCTGCCACAGAAGATGGTTTACCAGAAGGGATACGCACATACACACACACACAAAATGGAGGGAAGGAGTGGGTAAAGGAAAAAGTGGTTTCTCTGAGTTTCTTTTACCTTCAGTTTCCTCATAATGTAGGCAATACCCCACAAAAAGAGGCAATTGGGAGAATGCCTGCTTGGAAAACTGGATGCAATATTAATGTGGCCTTAAGGGCAAAGGCGGCCCTATTTATCTGAATTTAAACACTTCATGACTAGGAAAATGCTGAGCAAGGGATTTTTGAAGTTAGGTGTCCAAACCTAACTTATGTGTGTTCTGGCCTTTAGCCAGGAAAGGTAACTGGATTTCTTTAATGTCATTATATTTATCAGTCCTCCTATTTGGGCAAGGATCTCTTATAGCTAAATAAATAAAGACTTCTTAAAAAGCAGTACTGTAGCAATTTTCTAGCAAAACTAAGAGTTAAACTAGGGGTTTTTGGAGGTTTTTTTTTTAGTTTTAAGATTCATATCCAGATAAGAAATAATCTTACAGAAAATAAGCAGACAAAAGGGACATTACAGGCCAAGCTTTTTTGTTAAATCCTAAGGAAAACATCAGATGGTTGCCACTACACTTACTACAACAGTTTCCATAGCTCAGCGCTGAGAAACTTGTTCATCTACAAGAATAACAAGTGAGAGTGCTAAGACCTTTCTGACTGAATATTAGGCTCTCCACCAACTGTCTTGCAGCTGTGAGCTGCAGGTAACACACTGTCAGTACAGGTCAGCTTAGTAACAGATGTGCCAGTACAGCATGCTATTCTCCTAGGACAACATTCACTAGAAGCATGCAAAAAACTGATATAAGGGTACAGAGGGGCCTAATTAATCCTGTCCCAAGGAGGCATCTCAATTAGCAAGCCACTTTCTAAACTGCCAGGGAAGACAGACAACAGGCACTTCCAGGAGGCAGCTGAACCCAGCTAAAGCCTAAACCCACCTGTACCATCCCCTGCACGTATATGCCTCTGTCTCCATTGAGCTTACAGATGCCTTCCAGAAACACAGAATGAATCCAGATGCTGTATTGCTACAGCTATACCAGAGGAGGGAGTTCTGAGGTAAGCACAATGCAGGACAATTAAATGCCAACACTGGGCTGATAAGTATGTCTACTTTGCTTCAATTATAGTCTACTGTTCACTCACTACTAACCAAATCACACAAAGTCCACCTAAAAATGTGGGTACTAGGTGGGTTCCATCAGTTGTACTGGAGGCTACAGATGGAACCCCAGAATCCTGAAGCTGAAAGAGACTTATAAAAGCTTAAATGAAGCTTTCCATTACAGAAAAGGAGAAAAGCCTATCTTATTTTGTGGAGGTGAGACATACAACCAGACAAATTCTGTAAAATATATAAACAGAACAAAGTGAAAATGAACCAGCTGTCAAAGGATTTCTGGCAATAGTTTCTTCCACAATGGATAGATATGAGGCACTAATGAATCTGGCCATTAAAAAAAAAAAGTGTTAGCTGGTATAGCAACATGAATAAATTGGAAAAGAACATAAAACTCCCACTAAGATCTATGAAACTTATGGATGTTGCAAAGTCTATTCACCTTTTTTTTTTTTTAAATTGCTTCTAGGATACTATATATAACAGACTAATATCAAGTTATATGGAATTCCTATGCAAAAAGCTGCCAGCCAAGCAAGCAAAAAGGCTGTAAATATCTGTCAATTGCGTAAGAGGAAAAAACCCTCTGAGAGCAGAAATTTCCCTACCACCATCACCCTGCAAAAAAACAGGATTATTTAAAAGTCTGGAAATATAAAGTTAAGATTTCATTTAAAAACAGATATTAAACCATACGTCACCTACACGAGTCTTTTCCATTCCCTTCTTAACTTCTAACCATGCACGAAAGGTGTGTCAGATGAAGACATTATGATGGAGCCCATTAAATGGACATTTTATGGAAGACTTTAAACGATGTAGCCTAAGGGTACAGATATGTTAGATCTAATCATCATTTTATTTATATTCTTTTTAGAATCAGTCAACCCTGAAGTAAATGGTTTTAATTCAGTGCCTGTGTCCTCTGTCCTGCAGTATGCCCTGAAAAAATCCCTGTGAAAATTAATTAATAAATCCAGAACTTTGTATCTCCCAAACTTTTGACAATTTTAATAAGTTACAAGGTAATAACTATTAGCATAATGAACAAATTCAGGCATGCACAGACTGAGTTTCATGAACGGCTTCAAATGACCAAAGATCACAGGCCTTTGAAAAGCAGAGTCCTGAGGTCCCATCCTCTGCTCCCTCCTTGTTGCGCATGTCTGCTGCTTTCTTTCCATCAAAGCTAGCAATCCCGTGGCCACACAGCAAGTAGGCTCACTTCACACATCCAGCTGAGAAATAACCAGTCACAAAAAAGAAGTATTAATTTTCACCCAGATCAGTAGCTATTCTCACTTACCATATGGCTACATGATGACTGGAACAAAGGGACAGAACCCATGGCAGGAGCAGATGGCACAGAATATAACCTACTCTATGTGGGACACCGGGGTCTTTGACCAGT